ATTCATCCTGTTAATTTTCGCACTTGCTTCTTACTGGTTAATGTCTCTGGTATTCCTTCGATGGCTCTGATCTGATCCGGGTTAACTTCGATACCCCTTTGTGACACTAGAAAACAAAGGAACTTTCCTGAGGTTATGACAAAGGCGCATTTTTCGGGATTCAGTTTCATTCTGTCTTGCCTCAATATCTCGAAGGCTTCCTTCAGATGACCAATGTGATCCTCTTTCTTTTTCGACTTCACTAGCATGTTGTCGATGTAAACCTCCATGGTCTTACCGAGTTGTTCTTTGAACATCTTGGTGACTAACATTTGATACGTCGCCCCTGCATTCTTGAGTCCGAATGGCATGACTTTGTAGAAGTACGTTCCTCGGTGAGTGATGAAAGTGGTCTTTTCTTAGTCTTCTTTAGCCATTAGAATTTGGTTGTAACCAGAATAAGCGTCTAAGAAGCTCAGTAGTTTGTGTCCCATCGTTGCATCGATGAGCTGGTCGATATGTGGTGTCACACCTCCTTTTTCCGCACCAGAGAGGGTGGGGGAGTTTTTTCAATTAAAGGACAATCGAAACAGGATTGGTTTATTTATTTCAGAGTCGCCACTTGTGAGATTTAGGGTGTCCCAAGTCACCAATTTNTGGTAATGGAAAGGAATCTTTCGGGCATACTTTGTTTAGGTCGGTGAAGTCGACGCATATCAGCCATTTCCCGTTCTTCTTTTTTACCTTGACCACATTGGCGATCCATTGGGGATATTTTGATTCTCGGATGGAACCATTAGCGAGTAACTTATCAACTTCTTCGCTGACTGCCTCATTGATGGTGGCATTGAACTTTCTCCTCATTTGCCGTACTAGCGGGTAAAAAGAGTCGACATTTAGCCTGTGTGTGGCGATGTCCTTTGGGGTTCCTGGCATATCTTAATAGGAAAAGGCAAACAAATCGGCATTATTAGTTAAGAACTTATCGTACTTACCTGGTTCTGAGAGGTTGTGTCCGATATAAGCCTTTTTCGTGCTATCGGTGTTGTCCAGTTGGACGGGGTCGAGGTCTTCTATGGTTGCCTTGCAAGCTTCTATGACATTCGGGTCTTTGATGGCCTCTATTTGTATGTCGGGTTTGGTTCCCGATATGGCTGATTGCTATGCTTCCGCACTTGCCCCCTTTAGTTGTTTGGTGTGTGTCTTTTCTTGGGCGATTCAGTAGCACTCTTAGGCGGTGTGTTGCTCGCCTCGGATGCTGAATAGCCCCCATGGGGTAGGAAATTTGATTAGTTGATAGAAACTTGACAGGACGGCTCGCATGGCATGTATCTATGGACGCCCTATGATGGCGTTGTAGGCTATTTCCTGGTTCATGAAGTGGAACGTCGTTTCCAGGGTGACTCCTCCTGCTAGAACGGGTAGCACTATCTCTCCATAGGTTCGTTCCACTGGATTATTAAAATCCGTTAGTGTTATGCAATACAGTACTATTTTATCCTCGAGCCTCATCTGTATGAAGACTCGTGGGTGAATAATACACGCACCGCTTCCGTCATCCACCATTATTCTCTTTACATCAGTAATCCGCGATGCGTAAAGTTATAACCAAAGCATCATAGTGAGGGAAAGACAAACCGTTGGTATCCGACTTATCGAAGATAATACTATCTTCGAGGTCGTCATACCGTTCGTGGGCGACTGTCCATTTGAGTTTGTGTGTGGTGGTGAATTTCACATGGTTGATTAATGTATCATCACCTCCGCCAATGATCATTTGTATGGTACGAGCTCGTGATAGTGGTTTTGGAGGTCCCTGAGGTTGATCGTGTCCACGAGCGAAGTTAACCCATCCTCGATCGCTCAGCAGTTCTTTCAGATGTCCCTGGTTTAGCATTCTTACCACTTCCTGTCATAGACCTATGCAGTTATCGGTTTTGTGTCCCCTTTCCTAGTGGAATTCACATAGAATGTTTGATCTTCGGGTGCTTGGATCTGAATTCATCTTTTGTGGTCACTACACCTTTGTGTCGAGCTTTTCCAGTGCGTAAACTATTTCTGAATAAGAAACACAAAAGTTATGAGCAGATAACAATAGAGGCATACCTCTTTCATTTCGGGGTGGTGCGGTGTGTCGAGGCGCAGCGTCTGCATGTCGTGGAGGAGGTGGGTTGGATGTTTGGATATAGGGCTGGTGCCTTTCTCGATTGAAACGGGGTAGTTGGTCTCTTCGGCCGTCGTTGCGGCGATCTCTCCTTGTTTCGGTTTAGACCGATGTTAGCCGTTGGATCGGGCCATTTAGGTCATCCTCGTCTGCCCTTACTTCGGCACAATAGCCATTATGGATCTCTTTCCACGTGGTGGGAGGGTACTTCATGAGTCTACTTAGCAGCTTATTGGTTGCTTTTGACCCGTTTCTGTTTAACCCATTTTGGAAGGCTGCTACCGCCATCCCTTATGACACATTTGATAGGTTCATTCTTACCCTATTGAATCGGGCTAGGAAATCCCGAAGTCCCTCGCCTGTCGTCTGCCTACGGGGAAGATGTCATTTACCCTGGACTCTGCCTTTTTCGCTCCCGCGTGAGCGGTGACGAACTTATCTGCCATTTCTTCAAATGTTGATATCGATCGTGCTGGTAGTTAGGAATACCATGTCAACGCTCCCCCTGTCAGAGTTTTGCCAAACTTTTTCAGCAGCACTGTTGGCACCTGTTCTTTCGATAGATCGTTACCTTTTACTGCAATAACGTAATGGATTAAGTGATCCTCCGGGTCTGTGGTGCCATCATATATTTTCAAATATGGTGGCACTTTGAAGGTTTTAGGAATTGAGTGGGGAGTTGCCCCTTTACTGTATGGTTGTTCGACGAATCGGACCACGTCACGTTTTGGTAGCAACTTCGGAGTGCCCGGTATTTTATCAACCCTTTCCTGATGCTCTTTCATCTGGTCGCGGAGTGTTTTGTTCTCATTTTCCATCTTTTCCATTTTCTTTAAGATGGCCGCAAGTGCATCATTGCCTGCATCAATGACAGTATTAGTGCTACCTGTTCGTGGAGTTTCCGGCTCATCAACGACAGTTGTGGTTTTTGCGGGTATTATGCCTTCGATATCCCTTTGAATGGGTTTGTCGAGTATATTGCTCAAGGTGTTTATCAACCATTCTTCTAATAGCCTTTTCACAGCCAGTGGTGCTTCTCTTGCTGCAGATGTTGAGGTTTCCCTCTCACGCGAGACAGTCACGCCCTCGTGCGGGGGAGGGGGGTGAGATCTCTCCCTCAGGTGTAGCACTTGGCGTTGCGTTTTCGTTGTCTTCCCTACCAGCTTCATTGAGGGAATTCAGGAGGTTGTTCGTGACACCTACTATTACCTTTAATCTTGCTTCTCCCTTTCCTGCCATTGTTAGCCTTTGCGAGGCTAAGGAGAGGTGATTATTTCTTTCAAGGATCTAGACGAAACTAAGATCTCAGCTATAGAAATCCCCACAGCCGGTGCCAAATTGTTTGACTCAAAAGATATCGAAACCTTTTTGAGTAAATCAATCAAAGAAAATGAAGGGGTAAATCTTAGTTAAGTATAATAATCTCTAGAACAAAAGATAGACAAAGAGAGTACAGAGGATAAGAATTCTTTATCTCATGAAGACAAAAACTTGAACAATAATCCTACCAATCGTTTTTGTAAGCTAGTGTTATAGCACATGTTATAAGTTAGGAAAAATGCCCAGGGCCTTTACAAGGTTGTTTTTCACTCTATATATAAGAGACAAAACCCTTCTAAGCCCTAAAAGCAAGTCATATGGAATATTCGAAAGGATATTCCTAATGTCCCCTAATGGGCCTGCACTGCTGTAAGAGTCGTACAGTATCTTATCCGCCTGTAGATCTTCCCGTGCAGGATGTCGAGCTACGAGGATCTCGTCGTTTGTCGTACTCATCAACGATCATGGTTGTTCAAATTTGGACCCATACAATAAGAATATCAATTCCAGTATAAAGTTTTAAATTACATTTATTTCATGGTTGGTTGTGTCGCGATAAATTTTATATCAAATCTTGATATTAGCTAATCATATACTTGCTTTGAAACAAAAGACCATACGCATAGAAACATTACGACATACTCCTTTCGTTCACGTTTACTTGTCCACTATTGATTTTGCATGTCTCTTAAGAAATAATAAATAAAGTTTATAATTTACCATGATATTCATATTAATTGATGTATAGCTTTAATAGATTTAAAAATGATTTGGAATGAGTAATTAATGCTAAGGGCAAAACAGAAAAAATAAATTATTTTTTTCTTGATATGCGAAAGCAGACAAGTAAAAGTGAAAATCTATTTTTAGAGCAGTGGACAAATAAAAGTGAACGGAAGGAGTATTTAACTAAAACCGAACTGAATACTACTTATTACTAGTGTTAGTGAAAGTGAGTACTAGTGTGCAGTAATCAACAAGGTATCCTGCAAATCCATTTAGGGGATGAGCTTTATCTTCTACTTCTAGGTATCCAAGTTGAGTATTTGAACTGTCCATGAATATGAACATCCAAAAAGAAATGACTTCCTCACAAGATATATAACTTTAGCAGTTTGATTGATACCGTTTTAAATAATACTCTTGAATAAAGCCTCTAGATTAACAAATGGAGTAATAAAAATGGGAACGGGAAAGGCTGCAACCCAAAGGAGTGTGATGTAGGAAGCATATCAGGATGTAAGTATTAGTGGCTAATTCCACGATTCCAACCGTGACTTATAGCTAACACTCACGCGGAGATATAATTTGATTATCCCACTTTTTTCCTCACTTGTACAGTGTTGTACTCTCTTCTCTGGCTAAATAACAATGACATCCGGTAGGAGCGAAATTATGTATGGTTAAGGTATTTTTAAAAAAAAAAAACACGTCCTGACATGACATTTCTTATTGGTGTGATAGTTTCCCTATTATTTATCATTCATTTTAGCTTTACAAAGACCAACAAAAAAAAGAAAAACTCTAGCACCAAGAAGTTAGATAATATAAAGTCCCACAACAATACTGCAGAAGAAAGACCTCTCTTTTATTCCACCATCTTCTCCATTAGGATCAATGGCTGTGATATACACTCTTTCAGCACCTATTCTACTCTCCAAATCATCTTTTACTAAAAGGACAATGGTGTAAGCAAGTAGTCACAATATCTCAATCAATACCTCCACAATTACAACAACTACTACTGCTATTACTATTACTACTACTAGTCCTCTTCAGATCATATCAACTTCCAATAACAAGCTTGGGGTATTTCTTATGATCTTTTATCTGCTTAAACCTATGTCAGGCGGACTCTCCAAAATGTTGCCGCGACAGCGTCGGATCCTCCAAAAATACACTATTTTTGGAGGAACTGACACGCACCTGGAGATATTTTTGGAGAGTCCGAGCAACATATAGGCTTAAACTCGTATCAATTTGTCGAGATTAATATTTTCTTTATCTTTGTTTATTATATTTCTTCTCAGAACATATTGATTCGATCACATAGATTGGACCAAGTACATACGTTGACCCTCTATTTGCTTTGATAATGGTAGGTATTTGAGGATAAGTCGACGGGTGTAGTTTGTTATAGGGATGAGAACGGAGAGATCACATGCGAAGGATATGATCATGAGGGCCCTCGTTTCTGCCACCAACAGCCAAACTCTTGTTGTAAATCAAGGTATGTAACAATATTAGTCTAATGACTAGTATTGATGAATATAAGAATTCATTTAGCGACTCACCATAACATGCGTTGAAGGGAGCCTTGGAGCAACGATAAAGTTGTCTCTGTATGACCTATTTATATTGGTCAAAATCTGACTGCTGTGGTCGACCCAATCGGGACCACGTCCAAACAGCGGGATAAGAAAAGACGCCATGACTTACTCCAAACACGTATTCACAGAACGACGAAAACGGACGCGGTATGAAGGGGCTATGGCCCGAAAACAAAGCGAGTACTCCATGACTATATATACAGGGAGGGGATCTTCCTAGAAAGGGGAGCTTCTCTCTCTTCCCTCTCCTCTGTAATCTCCTTAGTAAAAAGAAAGCAAAACAATCTTCCATTGATTATGTACAACAGTCATCTCCACCGATTGGTGAAAGAAGAAATGAAAGACTTCAACAATTTATCGCTCTTATTTCATTTTATGTATCATTTTTTGATTTGTTTGCAGATATGGAGTTTACTACATTTGACTAAGATTTACCTCTTCATCTTCATTAATTGATTTAATCAAAAAGGTTTCAATATCTTTTGGTTAAACAATTTGGCGCCGTCTGTGGGGATTTCTTAGTGAAAGCTTCCTAGTATCCTCCAGATCAAAAACAGGAAACATGATCGCCCACCAAAGAGAACAGTAGGTAAACCTCACACGCCAACCTAGATTATGATGTCACATACAAGCAGAAATTACAACCAACATCCTCCCTTGCACGCCGGGCAGCCCATGAACCAGCCAAAACGAGCCTAACCCGCACAGGACAAAGGCGCAAAAAAAGAGAGGGAAGAGAGAACAGAGAGCTGAATACGGTTACCGGATTCAGAAAACATCACCCCCATCAACTATTAAGACGCCAAGCAAAGCAAGCAACGCCACAGATCCACCTTCATTCGCCAACTCATTGAATCGGGATAAGGAGAATATCATCCTGGCCCACCTTTTGTTGATTGCTCAAACAAGAACGCAGGCGCCACGCGGGCGAGCGAGCGAGCTAGGGAACAATCCAACTTGAGAAGGGGAAATTACTACAAAACGACCGAAACATCGTCCACTAGACAAACCCAACTCCTAGGAAATGATACCCCTTAAGGGATACCCCTTCCCCCTCGCTAAAAAGGCGTCCCAAGAGAGCCTTCCCGGGAACTTAAAGATCGGGACGATGAAGGAGAAATCCCCAAGGTCGAAGCGTAATTATCCGTCCCACCCATCAATGACATCTCCAGACCGGAAAGCAAAAAGGCTAGACAGGGAAACTCTAATATGTGCGTAAAACAAGTGTGAGCAAAGCAGCAGCGTTTTCTACTCACCAACATCGCACTCCCCGTTACAAATAATATCAGGCGAACTGGGACTCCCCCAAAAGAAACCTAACTCTCCGAAAATTCGTGACTCGCAACGGGTTAATATTTCGACGAAAGTTCTAAATAATACCCTTAAGGCCAAGGGCCTTCGCCAAAGAGATGAGTTCGACTTCAATCGAACAACGACGGGTTAATATTTCGATGAAAGTTCGAAATAACACCCTTAAGGACAAGGGCCTTCGCCAAAAGAAGAGATCGACCTCGATCGAACAACGACGGGTTAATATTTCAACGAAAGTTCGAAAAAACACCCTTAAAACCAAGGGCCTTTGCCAAAGAGATGAGTTCGACTTCAATTGAACAACGATAGGTTAATATTTCGACGAAAGTTCGAAATAACACCCTTAAGGCCAAGGGCCTTTGCCAAAGAAAAGAGTTCGACCTCGATCGAACAATGACGGAGTAATATTTCGATGAAAGTTCGAAACAACACCCTTAAGGCCAAGGGCCTTCGCCAAAAAGAAGAATGCAACCTCGATCGAAAAACGATGGGTTAATATTTCGACGAAAGTTCGAAAAAACACACTTAAGTCCAAGGGCCTTCGCCAAAAAGAAGAGTTCGACCTCGATCGAACAACGACGGATTAATATTTCGATGAAATTTCAAAATAACACCCTTAAGGCGAAGGGCCTTCGCCAAAAAGAAGAGTTCGACCTCGATCTAACAACAACGGGTTAATATTTCGACGAAAGTTCAAAAAAACACCCTTAAGGCCAAGGGCCTTTGCCAAAAAGAAGAGTTCGACCTCCATCGAACAATGACGGGTTAATATTTCGACAAAAGTTCGAAAAAACACCCTTAAGGCCAAGGGACTTTGCCAAAAAGAAAAGTTCGACCTCGATTGAACAACGATGGATTAATATTTCGACGAAAGTTTGAAAAACACCCTTAAGGCCGAGGGTCTTCGCCAAAAAGAAGAGTTCGACCTCGATCGAACAACGACGGATTAATAGTTCGACGAAATTTCGAAATAACACCCTTAAGCCCAAGGGCCTTCGCCAAAGAGATGAGTTCGACTTCAATCGAACACAACGGGTTAATACTTTGACGAAAGTCCGAAAAAACACCCTTAAGGCCGAGGGCCTTCGCCAAAAAGAAGAGTTCAACCTCGATCGAACAACGATGGGTTAATATTTCGAAGAAAGTTTGAAATAACACCCTTAAGGCCAAGGGCCTTCGCCAAAAAGAAGGGTTCGACCTCGATCGAACAATGACGGGTTAATATTTCAACGAAAGTTCGAAAAAACACCCTTAAGGCCAAGGGCCTTCGCCAAAAAGAAGAGTTCGACCTCGATCGAACAACAACGGGTTAATATTTCGACGAAAGTTCGAAATAACACCCTTAAGGCCAAGGGCCTTCGCCAAAAAGAAGAGTTCGACCTCGATCGAACAACAACGGGTTAATATTTCGACGAAAGTTCGAAATAACACCCTTAAGGCCAAGGGCCTTCGCCAAAAAGAAGAGTTCGACCTCGATCGAACAACAACGGGTTAATATTTCGACGAAAGTTCGAAATAACACCCTTAAGGCCAAGGGCCTTTGCCAAAGAAAAGAGTTCGACCTCGATCGAACAACAACGGGTTAATATTTCGACGAAAGTTCGAAATAACACCCTTAAGGCCAAGGGCCTTTGCCAAAGAAAAGAGTTCGACCTCGATCGAACAACAACGGGTTAATATTTCGACGAAAGTTCGAAATAACACCCTTAAGGCCAAGGGCCTTTGCCAAAGAAAAGAGTTCGACCTCGATCGAACAACGACGGAGTAATATTTCGATGAAAGTTCGAAACAACACCCTTAAGGCCAAAGGCCTTCGCCGAAAGGAAGAATTCGATCTCGATCGAACAACGACGAGGTAATACTTTGATGAAAGTTCAAAATTACGCCTTTGAGGCCAAGAACTATCACCGAAGAGAGAGTTTGAAATATCCCTAAGGCCAAGGGTCATCAGAAAAAAGAAAGGAAAAGAAAGACTGGGACTTATGACGGGATAATACTTCGATATAAGCCCGAAAGTAACATCCCTACGGCTAAAGTCGTTATTAGAAAAAGAGTTTGATACCATTCGGACTATGATTGGACAGAACCTTGACACAAGTTCGAAAACACCATCTCGCCAGCCAAAGCCATCATCAAGGTCCCATTCAACCCGCATGACGCTAAATTCCCAAAGAGTAGGGAACTCGTCATGCGGGAATCTACTTCTTCGCACCAAAGTTATGAAAAGCAAAACAGGGAAAAAGTACATAAGGCATATAATAATGAAAAATTCCTCTTTATACAAAGTCACTGCGCAAACAGCCGTAGATTACATACATCTAGAACTAACAGAGTCTAAAAAAACAACAACAAACAACGAATAAAAAAAGTGATAGAAAACAGACAAAGACAACAATTCTTTCACTCAGCGTCATCATCGCCACCCTCTTCACCACTATCTCTAGGAAGTCCTCCCTCGTCATCCGCGCCCTCATCAGCTTCCGGCGTCACGGAGCCATATCCACAATTAACATGAGCCTCTCGTGCCTTCGCCTGTGCTCCTTTATATGCGGCCTCGGTAACATTGCCCGCCTCCCACAAACTCTTATATATGTCCCGCTGGGCTTCAACATGAATCCAAAGTTCGTGCAAATGACGGGGAATAGTGGCGGAGGAAGATTTGACTTGAGCCAACAGTTGCTCCTTTTCGGCCTCAAGGGCAGCGACCCGGTCTCCTAAGGACGACATATCCCGGTCGATCTCACCAATATGCTCCTCGAGCCTTGCTTCCCTTAGTGTGGTCGTCGCCCTCTCCGACTCCTGCTCGAAGCGGAGGACCCGGATAGTGTTCTCTATAGCCGCCGCTCTCGCCAACACCGCCGACCAGGCGGTCTCGATGTTTTCCAACCCGGCAACCTTTCTCTCCAACTCGGCCAATTTTCCCATCCACTACGCACTCATCTCCTCGACCTTGATAAGATTCTGATCCATCTCAGACTGCATCGACCGCAGCTTCCCCTGAAGATATTCACACTCTGCGGTGACCCCTTTGCCAAACTCAAGCTCTTCGTCCTTTGCACGATGTTGCTCCTCGAGTACGCTCTTACTGCGAATAGCCTACATCAATTCCTGATCCCTCTTCTCCAATGCCTCGCCAAGAGATCTATCACCAAGGTTTGCCTTCAGTCGTCGTGAATCTCACGACACTTGTTGCGATAGCACCGATACTTCTCCAACATCTTCAAGAAAATCTTGGCCCGAATATCAGCCCTACGAGCGCTTTTAATTTCCACCATGTACGTCTGAAAAATGAGAAAATGGGTTAAGACCATATCACCGAGAAAAACGAAAGGAACATGAAAAGAAAGTGCAATGTACTCTCAGGACCATAGCGGCCACTTCATGCATCAAGTCAATATCAGAAACGTCCCGAAGAGCCGCGTTCTCGGCAATGCCGAACTGCGGCACTAGGTCCTTCGTGACCCCTAGGAGATTGATATCCGATGAGATCTCAAGAATACGGGACGGGCTTCCCGCATGAACCACCGAACGGGTAAGACCCTCTTCAAACATCCGAACATCATTGGGATCAAGGTCAAACTAAGATTCGTAGTCGTCGACCACGACACCCTTTCCCCTCTCTGCGGCCGATGAGGAAGCACGACCCGACACTAAAGATGAAGGCCCGTCCAAAGCAGCAACAACGGTCTCAAGAGTTTGACCCCCCATCACAGCAGGCTGTCGGTCAATCATAGCGGTCGGGACCTCCGACGATGGGGCAGACACAACGGCTGGCTCTAACTCCACGGGTGGAGTGGCATCAACTCCCGCCTTAGACCCCGTTAGGGGAAGGCCTTCCTCTAAATATATCACGGCCGCAATAGCCGCTTCAGACTCCACACGCTGCCTCTTTGACGGCCTTTCCCCTTCTGCGACACGGGAAAATTCCTTCGCTGGGTAAGTGACTGGGGTCAGAGTCCTAGTTCAAGGGGTAGCCTCCGTGCGTACGGCCACAGCCGTAGATTCAACTGAGATGGCCCTCGACGAAGGTCGGACAGTAGATGTTGAGGCAGGGCGAGCATGTGATGTAGGATGACGAAAGGCTAGTGGAGGAGCCCTCGCTCTCCGCACTCTCCCTGACACCGACGAACATCACATAAGAAACAAAGTAAAAAGGGAAGGAAGAAGAACAGCGAACGAAAATGATATTACTCACCAATAATGGGCTTGCGTCCATATTTCTCATAGAAGGACGACCATGTGCGGACCCCCCTCCCCTCCCCGTATAAGGAATGATGGCGTTCACCCACTCGCGAATACCATCAACAGGTGCAGGAGGCAGTTTCGTGACTGTAAAAACACAAACAATTTTAGTACTACTCAAAGGAAAGCAGTCGGGTATCATAAAGGCCCAAAGTATAGGGACTTACGTGCAAAGTTCCATTTCTCAGGGAACCCCATAGGATCCGCCACAAGATGCTCGATCCGCACATAAAAGTAGTTCTTGTAGAAGTGGCGGTTGGCTCTGTCGTCCATCTTTACCACCAAGCTCTTCTACCCTCGGTGACGCATGTGAATCATCGTGCCACGAATGAGTTGAGGGGAGAAGATATTGAGCATGTGCCTCAAAGCGATCTCATGACCGGCAAGCTCCGCAAATTTGAGCAGCATGAGGAACAATTTATACAGGTACGTCGTAACTTGAGCCGGGCATACCTCGTAAAAGAAAAATCTACCACCAAGAGAGGGAGAGGAAGCGTGTAGCCAACAATAAAGGGGTGGGCGTAGAACGCACAATACCCTGGGCGGTAAAAATGGGCTTTGTCGTTCCCCACCGCCGACAGTATTTCGACGTAGTGAGGAATTCCCCACCTAGCCCTCAAGTCTGCAATCCCCTCCTCATTTATGACGGAGGAAGCAGGTTCTGGTTCCTCCCCGGTGGGACTGTGGAAATCATTTCATGCTTTCCCAGGGCGAGGCAAGATCTCAGCCACCGATGGTGCCTCCTCATCTTCTGCCACTTCTACTCCTCCAGTGGATAGAACATCACCTTCCGACGCTGGAATTGCGTCGGGGAGGTCAACGTGAGAAGAATCACCAACCATTTGTATCAGTTTGATAAAAGAAAGGAGTAAAGAAAAGAAAAGATGAAAGTTCTTGGCTAACCGGAGAAAATCAAGAGTCCGAAGTATCAAGAGAAAAGAAGATTCGCAAAGTTCTTTCAAGTGAAGGCAATGAAGTGTGTCACTTGAATGGTTTATTCCTCCTATTTATAAAGGACATAAATTCCCCAAGCACGAAACCCAAGAGTCGCCAATCGAAGCTGATGGGGCACGAAACGGTTCAATCCCCTGGGAACATGTGCCATAATGGCGACAACTACGAACAACATTTCAAGTTAAACGATGTTTCGGTTTCGAAACGGCCGCAACGGTTTAGAGATATCGAAAGGGTGTTGTTACACTACTTGATTCTAAAAATCATACCCAAGGGTAGACAGTCAGATTTCTCTTAGATAAGCGAAAATCATCATCTGTCTACCGGGCCCAACAAGGGACGACCCCGACAGACAGAGGGACTAATTGTATTGGTCAAAATCTAACCGCTGTGGTCGACCCAATCGGGACCACGTCCAAACAGCGGGATAAGGAAAGACGCCATGACTTACTCCAAACCACGTATTCACAGGACGACGAAAACGGACGTGGTATGAAGGGGCTATGGCCCGAAAACATAGCGAGGACTCCATGACTATATATATAGGGAGGGGATCTTCCTAGAAAGGAGGGCTTCTCTCTCTTCCCTCTCCTCTGTAATCTCCTTAGTAAAAAGAAAGCAAAACAATCTTCCATTGATTATGTACAACAATCATCTCCACCGATTGGTGAAAGAAGAAATGAAAGACTTCAACAATTTATCACTCTTATTTCATTTTACGTATCAATTTTTGATTTGTTTGCAGATATGGAGTTTACAACGTTTGACTAAGATTTACCTCTCCATCTTCATTAATTGATTTAATAAAAAAGGTTTCAATATCTTTTGGTCAAACACTACCTATAGGTCTCAAACCGTGAAAGCAGCTTAATGTTTGCATTAGGGTAGGCTGTCTACGTCACACCCCTTTGGGTGCGTCCCTTTTCCGGATCCTGCATGAATGCGGGATGCCTTGTGCACGGGACTGCCCTTTACTATAACATTTGTTAATATACAGAGATGAAGAGATCATATCGCTCCTCCAAAGATGCTGCTGCTGAGTAAACAGCCATTTTGTGCATTCTCAAAACAATCTCATGATTATCAGAACTTGACACTTCTGACAAATAACACAAGAAACAGAACAAGAATAGTCTGTTTATGTACAGCTTATGTATTCATTCCCCTCTATTCAGGCTCATTGTCGTTCTAATAGTATATTTTAACAGGAAGAAAAGGGACAAGGACTTGCCTTTTCCTGGTGCAGATGTAAATTTGGAAGTGTACATTTTATGTATGAAAATTCATTTTGCACTTTCCACTCAAATGTTTTTGCTTTCCATTACCCCTTTTTAATATTGGGCAAAATACAAAACTAGCCGATCAGCCAAAACTAAATGCATTCGCTAGCCAAAAAGTGTATATTGTCTATTATATATATATAATACCCATATATAAAAAAAATACATTTTGTCAGCTATTATTTTTTGGAGCGGCTAAAAAATACATTTCTCTTTAAAATGTTTGTATCTTTTTTCTTAGAGGGATCCCACTGGCTACTCGTTTACAACCCAGTTTCTTCTGAAAATACATCAAGATTTAATCTACATGTTGTCTTTAACATAAAACAGGGAATGTGCTAACGGGGCAGCCCAGTGCACTGCGCTCCCGCTATGCGTGGGGTCCGAAAAGGGCCTGACCAAAACAGTCTATTGCGCTACCTTACCCTGTATTTTTGCAAGAGGTTGTTTCCAATGTGCTAACGGGGATAGAATTTAAAAAATGACCCGGAAAAATTCAATACACTGCAAATAATCCGAAACGAAATAGATCATACAGAGGAATTGGTCACCAGATGGGATGTGCTTCAAGCCTTCAACAACTAACTAAATAGATTTTCTCTGGTTTCCACAGTAACACAAGATCAGAAACTTATTACAGTTACCTCTATTTCCTTATTTTCCCCGATCGTACACAAATCAATAGGAATACAATAAGCATACACACCAATCCTATCAGCAGGAAAAGAGGGGGGAAAATATCTGTCAAAATTTAATAACAAAATCATGTACAGAGTTCATCAGCATAAACTTATCAAGAATCATGCTTTGACCAAAAATTGCAATTGATCCTTTGTAACTCATGTACAACTTGGTTTCTACACAAGGAAAGAATCATAATAAAAAAGAAAAGATGTACAAAACAATCGCCTTTAAGGTAAACCTAATTTTCTATGCAGGAGAAACCTGTCGCTAGAACTATAAGTCTATAACCCTCCATCGACGTCTTCTAACAAGTAATCATGTGTTCCTTCATTAAGGAGAATACCCCCGGAACTGCATATATCAAAAGAATTGAAAAAAAATGGGGAGAAAGATATGACCTTAGGATATACAAGCAAGATATACAAATCATTCCGCAGATTTTCCACTTTGCATGTTCTGTAAATCATTCTGCGACCTGTTGGGAGTAATTGTATGAGGTGACCAGTGATCCGGAACCATAAGAAAATAGGTGGTCATTGCTTTCCGGAACCTCTTTTTGTATTGCTTAGGTGAAATTACAGTCGGAGACACGTTCTTGGGTCCGCCAAGGATGCCAGAGGCCTTAACCCATGTCTCTAGGTGCTTGTCCCATGTATACTGCCTCATAAAGTCAATAATCCCAAGAACAAGTTCATGTTTCTCTTCGTCAACCCCGACTAATAGTGAGTAATCCATCACATCAACTGACTGCAAGAATAACTACTAAATTAGTCCAAAACCAAAAAAACTCAGCTAAAATATACTCACATGTTTATAGGATTAGGCAACATATATAGTAGCTTGTTAAGTAAGAGGACAATGAAAGACTGCGTTATGAAAGACATTTGACTTCTTACTATGGAGTGTCGAAGAGTGACTAAATATCAAATAACCACATTAAAAGGAAAATTGGACATCATTGAGCTTTTCTGTGCACAGAGTTCAGAATAAATTCATTGAAATGAACAGATTCATTTACTTACTGCAAGAAAAGCAGTGTCATTCCAGACAGCTCGTTCCAAAAGTCTTTTGGCTTTGTTTCCAACAAAAATAGGCGAAGTTGGCATTGACTCGATCAAGTTCTGATCCAGCAAGACCTTATTGCTTCCACTACAATCGGGATTGTAACGAGACCTGGAAGATCCTTTAAGGTCATAAAGCCTCGTTAGATTCCTCCCAAATAGAAGGTTCTCCATAACTAGCACATCCATTTTAGATTCCTTCCCTCCTTTAAAATGCTTAGATGTCACCTTCACATAAACAATAGACTTTAATTATGCAAAACAACCAGATACTCATAATCATAGTTGATATAATGTCTTATGAAAATTCCCAAGAATATGAAGTTAGGGAATAATCAAGAAACTTATTATTTTAGTCTTTAGACACTAATTACACATCAAAGTTTGTCTTCGTAGAAGATAAATATGCACCCCATGTTTTGAGGTTAATTCACCCACAAGGCTATGGAACCATAACAACTATAACTCGAAAGACTTGGCCGACCGTAAAGATGATTATGTATTCATACAGACCATCATGCTCCCTTCTCAAGGCAAAGGGCTCATTTACCCAAAGACACCCGTGAAAATGGATTGTGCCTTACAGACCAATCCTAGTGAAAACTTCAGGTGAAAGTAAATAGGAATTCAAAACCCAACTGGTGGCTCAAATATGTCAAGTCAAACCATAAAACCAGGAATAAATTATGTCAAGCGCACCTTCCAAATGTGAGACTCGTCTTTGCCCCTTAAGAAATACTAGATTCACAACAAATGTCGCATTGTGCTGTTGCAGGTCTTTTCCCTTCTAAGACTATATCAATCACTTGGTATAACAAATGGCCTAATAAATCTTATTCACAAAATCTGAGAAGCTGTAGTAATTAGAGAATTCAGAAATACCTGATAGATCCCCAGAATTTTAGCCAGGCAAGTAGGGCTCCTTGAGCTTACTGATTCAGAAAGATATTTAAAATATGCAGGAGCAAATTTTATAAAGGATTCCAGCTCTGTCTTGGTCACTTGCTTAATAATGAATCGATCATCCAACGTTTTAGCAAAGAAAACATTGCTCTTGCCTCCTTGGGCTCCCCACTTCTTACAGCGACTAAGAGATCTTATGAAATCCATCTCAAATGGGCAACATATCCTCCTCAAAGCTTCAAAGCGCTTTGCAAAATAACAAGTCACTGTATACTTCACTTTCCCTAGTGGTCCATCATCTGAAAAGGAGACTCTGGCATGCATTGCCTTTGTGTATGAGAGTGGATCCAAAACCGAAGAGCTATGACTACTGGACGAAGACAAGATACTCTCATCAGCAGATCCGAGACTTCTGTATGATTCTAATACTATTTCATCCATAGACTGAAGGGACTGCAGACTTCCAGATTCTAGGGACTGCAGCGGAAGGTTAGAGTCCAAACTAGAAGATTTCTCTAGCTCATCAGCTAGTTGTGCAATATAATCCTGTGATACTAGTGCGTAAGATATAATACTAGTGGGCTCATCATCATACACTGGTATAATGGTATCATTAATCCCAACAGGTAGGAGCAACCTCGCTCCACCTTGGGCCTCTGACTCTCTAAATGATGAAATGTAGACAGGGCTGTACTCGCCAAGCGTATCCAACTTCTGAGCACTTGGTAAAAAGTTTTTGTTCAGTGACCGGTAAAAGCTAATAAAAGACATACCTAACCATCCCCCGACGTCTTCCACATTTTCAGAGCCTTTAGAGGATAAAGAAGGAGGAAATCCAGATGCCTTAGTTCCCCCATGTTCCTCACCAGGGTCTTCAATGTCCACTTTTTCTGCTAATCTAGTTGTTGAAGAATCTGCAGTAAGTGGTTCGGAAGATCTGCAAGTACCATCCTTCAGCACTCCGACAGCGGAAGTAGTTTCACCAGTCCAAGCTGCCTCAAGAGTATCTGACAAATTATCCATGATCGGGGACTGCCCGTCAGAAAGGGCTCTGGAACCCTCTATATTGGATTCCGCGGAGTTCAATCCGTAGAAGCTTTCTGTTACAACAGGAAGACCTGATGGTTTTTCAATTGCACAACTAGAATCAACGAGATCATCAGATCCTTGATGATCTGCATCCACATGATTCTTTTGGCTAACACCTACTCCTTCATTAGATGTTGCACCAACATTTGTAGTTGTAGAACGAGAACCAGAGACATTCAAACAGTCACTGGGCCTATCTGGATCAGTGTACTTATCATTAGATGTTGCACCAACATTTGTAGTTGTAGAACGAGAACCAGAGACATTCAAACAGTCACTGGGCCTATCTGGATCAGTGTACTTATCATTAGATGTTGCACCAACATTTGTAGTTGTAGAACGAGAACCAGAGACATTCAAACAGTCACTGGGCCTATCTGGATCAGTGTACTTATCATTACTGACCAGGGGTTTCTCTCCAGTAACGCAATGAGCCTCGCATTCTAAGCTGGCTGCATATACAAGTCGGTGATCCCACATATAAGACTGGAAAATGAGTTGTCTTCGCAACCGATTAATCTCGAAAATATCAACCATCGGCTGCACCTTTTTCGCCTCCTTGGTCAGAATTTTCTGGAGAGATTCCTGATAATACAGAATACCCAGGAAAACCCACAAAGAGCAAATTAACAATTGTTTTAAAAAATAATTGCTTTAAATCCCTAACATAAGTCAGACAATTAAGAATTCCAGTCAATTAGTTTACATGATGTTAGAATCATGATACACATGAAAGTTAAGTGTCAATGCAAAAGGTTGATAATGACGGCAAGCAAGTTAATTTCTGATGCATCAAAGCAAACGTTAATAGAATCTGCAACATGGGCAGTGAAGACAATTCCACCACTTTCTGTCTCCCAAGCACAAGGTGATAAAAGCAGAACTACTGAATCACAAAGAGACATATTTGTACATGGGTTGCAGATAACGAGAGTGAAAGAGAACAAACGGGAACTCATACTTAATTATTACGTCTACCAACACCCAACAAACAAACACAATCAGAGGTGTGGAGGGAAGGAGAGAAAGTGCTTTGTAATATAACCAGGACCATGTTATGCAGTTTACTTCTGAAAACTTTGCAGAAGCTAAAGATAATTAGTATTCAGAAGTGAAGACTTTACTTCAAATTCTTCTTTCTCCTTCTGCAGCATCCCTTCCAAAACAGCAATCTGACCTCTAGCTTCAGGTGCTTTAACGCTGCTGTTAAATTGACCAACAGATCTTTTCTCCACCAAAAGACGGATTGCATTCAGAACCTCAGAAAACAAACGTTCAGCTCGACTAACAACCTGCTTAAATTATTCCATGAAAACAAGTACACGGTGAGATTAGATGCGACTTTATACCACATTCAAAAGTCCAAACCACATTCATCACACCTCATTCACTTCTTGTTGTATCCAGTCCTGATTTTTCTCATAGTTGAAATCCAGCTTTGCAGGAGGAAGGCACACTGAGTGAACATCAATTGACGCATAGCGAAAGCAAGCAACCATTTTTCCGAAACTGCATGTGTCACAAATTTACTAACATTGCAAAAAGATACTCAAAAGTAATAGCCAAAAATGATGGATAGAACACTGCTACAGACACTTGAAATAAAAGGGGAACCATAGTTTTAAACACAGACGCCATTTTATGTAGATTATTTTCATGCATTGACAAAATAAATTGCAAGCTAGCACTAGACTATACCAACATGACAAAGAAGGGAGCAATAAAATTCAATCAAGAAATCCAAGGGAGAGAGGTACTGTTATTTGAGCAGAACATGACACCAACTAATCATGCCAACAGATTTAAATATTATGCATGACACCAAGAGAAGAAATGTTTGAAGTGCTCTACATTTATAACACTGCAGGCAACAAACAGAATGAGAGCATACCCATAAAACCGAAGACAATCTCTATGTAAAGAATGCCCGCAGCTAGCTACCCTGCTAGCAGCTGCATGGTTTGAAAAACTAAGTTCGAGAAACTTCCCAAAGGATAAGCCCCAAGCAGCATCGGACATCACTATTCTTTGAGTTGCTGGAGGAAAGCCCTTAACCCATGGACATCTGAGGCACCTGTGCCACATCCATATTTTTCCTTCCCTTTCACCAGGCAAAAGAAACTCTGGCAGCTTCTTAACAGAAATAGTTAGAGTGCCTTGTCGATGAGTATAACACTGTACATGTGCTTCTGAAGGCATCTCACATGAACTACATCTGTAACTCTGCGAAAGAAACGGCAACAGATATTTTCAGACTCGTAATTATATTCTTACTGTTTCGGGCATAGATAGAAAGCGAAGAGGAGAGATTTACTTGATCAAACAAATTGTCTCGTAGATATCGACCCAATGGCTTATCAAAGTTCCCATAGTATTTGATCCGAAAGAGATGGGACCTTTCACAGACAGTTCCTTTCCAAACACATCGGGATGATAAGGAAACTAAAATGCTTTGATGGTCAGATGGGGACGGAGGAAACTCTTCCTTTGAAGAAGCTGGTTCATCGTGAACATGTTTTCCATCTAGTTGCAAAACCATTGGATTTGAGCCACTTTGGTTCACAGCCACAGCAATGCAATTTTGAACATTCTGTGACAAACAACCTTGTTCTGCATTCTCTGAAGGCGTTAATCTGGAATACTCTATCATATTTACGATACCTCTGTCCATAGATGCACCAGTTGCGGAGGGCCCACGGAAGGAAGTCTCAGTGCGTGCTGCAGTTGGGAACTCTGTCATACCCATTGGCTGAGCACAAAGGCTTGCAGCCTTGACCAGGTCTGATGTGGGAATGCTACCTGATCTCTGTGGTGCACCACCACATAGTGGTGATTGAGTTTTTTCAGTGGAAGGAAAGGTAAAACCAGGTATTGTTGAGATTGACCGGTCAATAGTTGATGATTTATCTGGAAGTGCTACAGTTATTGGAGAATTCAGAGGCAGTTCAGGTAGAGATGCTCCCTCATCAGCAAGAAAAGAAGTTTCCAGACCCAAATGATAAGCTGCAAAAATTGAATATTGAAAGACACGCTTTACTTTCTTCAACTCATCCCCATTTGCGCCACAGAGTAATACCTGAGACAACAAATATCAAGACAGCCAAAAAGTATTTAGAAGTCTATATATGACAAAATGTAATGTGTACACATTTGATGTCGTAGAAGTAATTTGGCCATGTTAAGAGACTGAAAACCACCAATAATTTTCTCATTATAGTTCTAGTAATTGACGACAGACTTACAGTGCATCCCAGTGGCTTTGGACAGCCTTCAAAGTACATTAGAGTCTTCACCAGCTTCTTTCCACTCTGCCCGGCTGTACCATGCTCTTCGAAAAACTTCTCAACATGGAACATGTCACAGTATCCCAATTTTTGAGAGGAGAGATGATCTATTGAAGGTACTATTTGACTACCCGTGCAGCGGGCTATACGCTCCAAAAGTGTCCTCTTGATATTTAAGACAAGTGATATGTCCTTTGCCAGGAGGTACTCTTGTGCATAGCGAGAAACAGATTTTTCCACCAGAAGAACATCTGGTTGGTGTGCATCAATTTTGGCAACAGCCATCTTGAGATGATCCATTTCCTGAATAGCAACACACATCTATAAGCACAAGAGCTATACACTATCTGCTCCAAATATGGGAAGACAAGGTTATTCATCAAAACCTGCTGCAACAAAGTATCAAAACTTGATAAGTGGTTGGAGACACGCTGGTACTCAAGAGCCCCTCCAAGGATTAATATGCGAGGCTTCTCTATTTTGGACGTCATTCGTCGATGAGCTACGTTTTTCTTGCAGACAACTCCTTTCACCACCGCACTATTTAAGGAGGGAAAGTTTCATATTAAAGGAATATTTTTTAGGATGTATGCAACATCACAACAACAGCTACTACTACGCCTAAAACCCAAGCAAGTTCGGAATGTATGCAACATCGTAAAAATGGTAGAGAGTGCACAACAAGAACAAAAATGATTACTATTATTGACCAAGAACACACTCGCAAGCAAAAGAAAGCTGCCAAATGTATGTAATAAGTTGTTACCTAGCAAAACTATATCTAGTTTACAAAACATAGAGTGAAAAGCACAATGTCAATATCTTCATTGTTTCGTACTTTGTGAAAACCACTTTGACCAAATATTTCTCAAGGCAAGAATTTACAAGTTTCTAGGGACGTTCCCAAGTATCAAATAGAATTGTATCAATGAAAGACTCTAGTAATTTGAAGTTCCTTCAGAAATCACAGCAGACAAAAGGAAGTAGTGTGTGTGTGTGTCTGAGAGAGAGAGAGAGAGAGAGAGAGAGAGCATGTGTGCGCGGAACATGAACCCTTAAGAAAGCTCCTGTTTCTCCTATTTCAAAAGTTTTCTGTTGCTGCTTATCCTAACTAGTTACAAAAGAGGCAAGGATCCAACACCAGCTGAACAGCATTGTGTACAAAAATGAAATTTTTTTATTTCGCTTACCTGTCACTACGATGCCCAGATGCTACATATTTCACCTTTACGTATCCCCCAGGGTCCATCCCTCCGCCCTTGCTAGTGTCTGGTTTCAGAAGTGTGGCAGCTTCCCATGACAGGGATGTAATAATCTCCAGCCAACTCTCTTTTTCGTCTTCCTCATCGATGGCAAGTTTTTCAACCTCCATAAGCTGTGATACTAAAGCCCTGAAGTGGCCATCAACCACATTTTTCACAGCCTTTTTCTGCTCCTCATTTGACCTATCCCTACTTCTAAATTCACCACTTCCAAAGATGCTTGATGACCGTAAACATCCCCACTCTCCTGCAGCATCCCCGTCCTCATCATCGTCATATAGAAGTGCTTCCCTTTCATCTTCTTCGTCTTCTGGTTCAGGTGGAAGCCACAGAACTCCATTGTTCTCAAAATCCACAGGTTCCAGATTAGCATCTTCTGCAACATTTAGGGATGAAGGCACTTCACATTCATCAGAGATGTCCTGTTTTACAATCTGTTGGACTTCTTCGGAAGCCTGGGAATCAAAACTATTGTGTAAGGAAGAGCTGCTCACACTTTTTTCATCCATAGCTTCTCCGTCAGCGTGTACTTTATGAGATCCATAGTCCTTTTTGATCTCGTCATACTGAACGTGGCCATAGTAGCCATTAACCTGAGGAAAATGCCCCTGGGAATCTAACTGGTAAACACCATATTCCTCTTCTTCATCATCACTCCTGATTCCACAATATAGCAACAAACAGTCAACTGATACTGAAACATGTTTGTGGACATGAGTAGTTGGAAAAACAGGTAACTAAAAATGCAACGCAACTCACAGAACAATTGGTTTGCTCAGGATAAATTAATCAAGGTGTGGCCTACCAGGCAGCAAACTTCAGTTATTAGTGCTTTGCCAAGTTGCTTCTGGTATCATTTCTTTTACCTGCTTCTGGATTACTTAAGAGAAGGAAAGGGATTTTCACTTATTGGGACAAATTGCACATTCGTTTTAGAAGGGTATTCAAATTGGTTAGAATATGTCCAGATACATCGTTGCCAAGAATATCTTCAGATTCATTGTAGAAAATCGTATAGGATAGACTAGAATATTGCGTCTTATTTAGGAGTTCATTTCGCATTAAGTATATTCGTTTTAAAAAAGTTAACATACTTATTAGAGTAGTTTAACAACTCTCATATTATGTTGAGTGTAATCATCAAGAAAACAATTTTTCTCTCCCCTTGTCTCTCTTTTCACATGGTAGATTACCCGTTCTAAACCTATTCCGTTACTTGTAAGTTTTAGTTTAACGTTCAAATGTGGTCCCAAAATTGGATTACATGTGCAAGAGGGGGTTGAATTAATAGTTGTCCAACATGGATTGTGTAAGAGCTTCCAAAGAGGTTTCTAAAGGTACTTTCTAATCCCTTGCTACTTTGGTTGGCAAAAACTTGATTTCATGAAAAAGCAAGAAGCAAGATGTGGTTGCGAATGCAGAGCCAGAGTATCGAGCTACGGCTTTAGAACACATGTGCTTATGTGGTTGATTTCACACAAATCCTTAAGAGGATTCAAACATGCAATAGCATAAGGTATACCACAGAGTTAGGATGTTCATACGCTATCGAAACTAGGGGCAAAAGTGCTTTCTTCACTACTTAGTAAGAGATGCGCATAGTGTTTAAGGCAGTCTAGTCATTCACATTTGACAACAAAGAAACTCATAAATGGTGCTACTTTCCAAAGTCCAAACAACAATCAACGACAAAATAATAGTTGGTTTGATTTCTTTTTCGTTAATTTGTTCAAATAGATTAATAATAATAGAAGATGTAAGACGAACCTTGTTGTGCAAAATGCATATTGGTTTAGGGAAGGGTCCAAAACCCCTTTACTAGCAGGATCAAAGCTCCCTCTCGATGTTGCAACATTTTGTGTCTCTAGAGTAGATTCTGTTACAGCTGATTTGCATGGACTAAGTACCGAAGAGTGTGGCACTGAAGTAACGGTAATGCTACTGCTCTCACCAGTTCCAGTAGACTTGAAGCTAATAAAACTGGTTGCAGAAGGCGAAGAAGTACTCGTATGCAGGTTAGCAATCTGAGTTCTAACACTAGCCGCTAAACCTTGCTCCCATTGCTTGAAACAGTAATTGCAAACTCTGATCTTTTCCCACTCATCTTGTAGTGGCCTTGGCTCACTGGATGGTGCTGGAACCCAATTAGATGTGCACTTGCCACAGAATACTCGCCCACAAAGACGACAATGATGCCTACGGTTAAACAATGTGAACTGAGAATCACAATCATAACATACCCTACAGCTATGATCGGGCATCCAAAAATCCCTCGATACATTATCAGGCTCATGTCGCCAAGGGATCCACGATTTCAGTAACTTTAACAGATCAGAGAATGTCCTATTCGAGGCATCCATTGACAACATTAGAGAGGCCTTTGCCTCTCATTGCTATAACCTCATTCAGTAACAAAACTCATATCCAAATTGCTGCAACAAAACATCAGCATAGAGCCCCTGACAAGTGCCCAACATAGAAGATTCAACAAACTATTCACTGATTACAGAACTATTATCAATGCCTTAGCCTTATATCAGCATTTTCCAAATCAATATATATCAAAAATGGCTGGCTGCCAATAGGTTCCAATTAACTGGCATTAAATAGAATTCCTTTGAACTGCCCTCTGAATTAAAACACAAAATACCCACTTCACAGAATCCAATTCTTGATATGGTAATGAAATCAATTCAAAAAATCCCCCATAGAAAATTCAAAACACCCAAATTGGAAAGAAAGCCAAATAAGGAAACCCCAAATCACCTCAACAGCAAAAAAGATTGAATCTTTAATCTTTAATCTCTATGCACTAATAAAGGGGACAACTTTTCTTGATTAAAAAAATCAAGAAACCACCATTTTTGCTTCTCATCAATCAATCAATATATATATATATATACCTGAATTAAAAATCATATCTTTCCAATATGAATAATTAAATAGCTGAATCACAACTTAAAATAAAGGACTATACAAAATCATTCGAAACAAAAATATTTATTAGGAATAGAAAAATGAACAAGAAAAGGACAGTGCCTTTTAATGATATAATTTCGGGGGGCCAAGTACCCTTTTGCAGAATCAAATGGGACCAAACAGGTCAGCAAATGAAAGACAAATTTTATAACCAATTATATATAGCCACGTAGATAAACAGACCCCTTTTCAGGGGGTAGGTGAGTACGTCAATTCAATCATCCAATTTTACTCTTTTTTTTCTTCTTCTTCTTCTTCCAATTTTCAATAAATCCGCTGTTGTATAATTAGGTGAGTGAGTTTTTTTTTTAAGTTGCAAATAAAAATTTAATAATGATATCTGTCAGTCAAATCTTCTTTTTATTGTTTTACTTTAATGACCACCCTCAAGAAAGTCAACTTCCCCGAACCATAATTTGTTAGTGCCGGACATATATCGTGTAAAACCGATAGCCCGAACAGAAAAAAGTTCATCGTATTATCAGTATCAGATTATTGGGTCGATGGTTTGGTAACGGTTTTGTGTTTTTTGTGTGAAGATTGAGTGAGGAGAAAGCTCCGAGCTTCCTCCAATGGAGGTGGTGGAAGCTTCTCGAAGAGAGAGAGAGAGAGTAATGGAGAGGACAGTAAAGTCGGTCAAAACTGAAAATTATGATATTAACCAAAAACTGAAAATAATATTGTTTTCAATACATATATACAAATGACCTATTGTAATCCTAACTACCAATGACTAGCTAATAGTAATGCTGACTCAGCATTGATACAAATATAAATAATATACAATCTCAATATCCCCCTCAAGTTGGAGGTGAAGAAGTCACACCCAACTTGCTAAGCACAGAGTAATGTTTGATCCCAATAAGTGCCTTAGTGAGTACATCAGCAAGTTATTGTCCAGTGCCAATGTGATGTAGTGAAATGAGTCCCTCTTGGAGCTTGGTGCGCACAAAGTGGCAATCAACTTCAATGTGCTTGGTCCTTTCATGGAACACAGGGTTCCTAGCAATGTGTAGAGCAGAGAGGCTATCACAATGTACAGGTATGGGTAGATTGATTGACACAGTAACCTCTTCAAGCAGCCTGGATAGCCAAACAAGCTCACCAACAACCTTTCTAAGGGCTCTGTATTCTGCCTCTGCTGAAGAAAGAGAAATGGTTTCTTGTTTCTTGGACTTCCAACTAATTGGACTTCCTCCTAGGAACACAATGTATCCAAACACTGATCTTCTGGAGTCTGGGCAGGCTGCCCAATCAGAATCACAATATGCAGTAAGAGAAAGATCACCCTCATTACTGAAATAAAGGCCCATAGTAGGATCCCCCTTCAAGTATCTCAACATGTGATAGGCTGCCTTTAAATGGGGCTCCCTAGGGTCTTGCATGAATTAACTGAGATGTTGAACCCCATAAGCTATGTCTAATCTGGTGTTAGTGAGAAAATTCAACTTACCAATCAACTTCTTGTAGAAAGTAGGATTAGAAAGTGGTACTCCCTCTTTAGTTTCAATTTAATTGTGGGATCAAGAGGAGAAGTCAGGGGTGGACATTGAAGGCATTCATAGTCCTTCAATAGGTCCAAAACAAACTTCCTTTGAGAGACAATAATGCCATCTGACTTGTAAAGAATCTCCAGTCCCAAAAAATAGTGTAGTTGTCCCAAATCCTTGATTTTAAACTCATCATGTAAGAAAGCTTTAAGTTGGTCAATTTCTTCAGAATCAGTCCCTATGAACAACACATCATCCACATATACTGCTACAAAAATAATATAGGAGTTCTGTTTTCTGTAGAACAAGGAATAATCATGCATGGAGTGCACATATCCTCTGGAATATAGTACTTCAGTTAGCTTATCATACCACTGTCTACTGACCTGCTTTAACCCATAAAGGGATTTATTTAACTTGCACACTAACTGTGGGAAAGACACATCAAGACCTGGAGGGGTCTGCATATAGACCTCCTCATGCAAATCTCCATGAAATGCATTATTCACATCTAGTTGTGAAATTTGCTACCTCTTCTTTGCTGCTATAGCAATGAGAGACCTCACAATAGTCATCTTGACCACTGGGGAAAAGGTCTCTGTATAGTCTACACCAGCTTGCTGAGTGTATCCTTTAACAACCAGTCTTGCTTTGTATCTTTCTACACTACCATCTGCTCTATGTTTAACTTTATACACCCATCTACACCCAATGGCTTGTTTACCCTTAGGTAGGGAAACCAGATCCCATGTCCTATTAGCATACAAAGCATCAAACTCCTGTGTCATGGCATTCTTCCAGGCAGGATATACAGCAGCTTTTCATATGAATTTGGTTCTCTATCATTGCAAATGTTTTCTATAACATACTGACTATTACGATGCATGGCATCAGAAATGATGTGGTTATTATTGGAGGACATGGCATGCAAAGAAAAGTTGGTTGTACATTTTAAATTTGGTATTTTGTAAACATAATCATTCAGATGTGAGGGCAATTTATGCTCCCTATTGGATCTTCTGAAGGCTATTGGTTCTGTTAGGGGCTGTAGGGATGAGGCCACATCTTGTAGTTGACCTACTGGAATTTGGAATTCATGAGTAGAGGATACAGGTGAAGGAACATCAGGTGATGTGTTGGAGCTTGAAGAGTTGGCACTTTCCTGATTGTTGGCATTGTCACTAATGTTATGATGCAGTTGAGTTTCAGTATGGTTAGGAGAATTCTTAAAGAATGGTGTATTAGGAAGGACAGATGGAATGTCTGATGTAGTGGAGTTAATAGTGAAGGGGAAAATTGACTCATAAAATGAAACATCTCTAGAGACATGTATTTTTCTAGTGGCCAGACTTAGTGTCTTGTACCCCTTTGTACCAAAAGGATACCCTACAAATACATGTGCGCTGGTTCTTGGTTCTAGTTTATCTCTGGATGGTTTTGGTACTGTAGGGTAGCACAAGCACCTAAAACTTCTCAAGTGAGAGTAGTTTGGCTTCCTTTTATATAAGAGCTCAAAAGGACATTTGTTCTTTAGAGGGATGGTTGGGAGTCTGTTAATCAAATATGTTGTTGTAAGGACACACTCTCCCCAATATTTCAGTGGCAATTTAGATTGAAAGAGCAGTGCCCTGGCTACTTCAAGTAGATATTTGTGTTTTCTTTCCACCACCCTATTTTGTTGTGGTGTATAAGGACAAGTCTTTTGGTGGTTAATTCCTTTGGATTGAAAGAAGGTGGCAACTTCATTGCTGGTAAACTCTGAACCATTATCAGATCTTATACATTTGACAGTTGTCTTGAATTGGTTTTCCACCATGGTTGTAAAGGCCTTTATTATTTGCAAGGCATTGCTTTTGCAGCTTAGGATGTGTGTCCAAGTGGACCTACTATAGTCATCCACCAAAGTTAGAAAGCATTTGAAGTTGTTGTGTGTTGTCACATGATAGGGTCCCCATAGATCTACATGAAGTACTTCAAAGATTTCAGTGGTTTCTGTTGTTCTTTGGGGAAAGGCAAGTCTGGATTGTCTGGCCATGGGGCAAATGTTGCATGTGAAAGACTATTTGTCAGAAAAGGTTATATGTATGGTAGGAATCCCTTTCATTTTACTAAAGGGTACATGACCAAGTCTGAAATGCCACAATACATCTAGATTAACAGCATGAGATGAACCAGAAAACAAAGCAGAGTTACTGTCTTTATTCTTGATGCTGTGAATGGAATTATTTACAATTTGAAGTGAATTGAAAGATTGGGTTAGACAATGTACACCTCTTACATCACTAGTATGAATAGAAAGACAAGAAGAATCACACTTCTGTTTGGAACTACCTTTCTTCAGGCACTTGGAGCAAAGGAAATACAAAAAATCCAGCAACTTATCAATCTCCAGAGGCCTCTTCAGTGAAGGGGCCTGCAACAGACAGGCAGTGTCTGAGAATGATGCAATACATTTTAAATGAACTGCCAAGGAACTAATAGATACCAAATTAAATTTGAATGAAGGAATGAACAAGACTTTGTACAGGATGATTTCAGGTGTTAGAAATACATTTCCAATTTCATTTACTTTGACTTTATATCCATTTGGAAGTTTCACTAATAGAGGATAAGGAAGGTTTATTATGTTATGAAAGTAAGATTTATCAAAGGCCATATGGTGTGATGCCCTGAAGTCTAATATCCACAAGTCAGCCTTTGCATTAAAGCATCTACATGATGGATTGTCAAAGTCAATTGAAGAAGTGCAGGCAATCATACCTGCAAAGTTCATTGATGTTCCACCAACCATGTTTACACTAGCTGAACCTTCTCCAATGCTTCCCGTCTGGAAATGTTACAATAGGCTAACAATTTGTCCATATTGCTCCTTTGTAAGGTTGACATTTTGGCTTTGAATTTCTCCTTGAGGCTCCAGTTTCTCTCCTTCCTCAACACTTGTGACTGCATTTGTTGTGACATTTCTTCCCTTATTGAACTTTGTATTGTTGTTGTACCCTTGTGTACCTTGTCTATACTGTTGTTGTGGTCCCTGATTGAAGCTTTGAGGATAACCGTGGAGTTTATAGCACTTGTCCTTAGTGTGACCTTGACGTTTGCAATAATCACAGAAAGGTCGAGCTCTATTGTTCACACTTTGGTTTCCAGTTCCAGCAGAATAATTTGTTTTGAAATTCCTTCCTCCTAGGTTCGCATTCAGTGCTGTGGAATCAATGTCTAGTTGATTTCTGGGCCTAAACTCTCTCTGTTTCTATTTTGTATCAGAAGGGCAAATGTCTGTGCCATATTCGGCAAGGGGTTCATCATAAGTATGCTTCCTCGAACAACTGTATATACTTCATTAAGCCCCATTAAAAACTGTATGAGTCTCCTATCCTGCTCTGCCTTATGCATGTTCTCCTTCGCCCCACAAGTGCATATACAACTGCAATGAGCCTTGACACTGAGAGTATTCAACTTCTCCCA